ATCTGACTAGGAATAGAACGGGGGAAAGGAATGGAGCCCAACCACTTGGTCAGTCTGGGGTTGATCGTCGACCTGCAAAAAGCGAGTCCGTTATGCAAAACCAAGTTTTACTTTTCATCGAAAGACATGAGAATTTGTTTGATAATGTTCCCTCGATCGTCACTTAACAATTGCGCGGTTTTAATTTGACTATATTTGGTTTCTCGAATGAGCAAGAGGAGTCATGACTTATTAAGTCTTATTAGGTTTATTTTATTTTAAAATGTTATGAAGCTGTGGTCTTCTCTGAAACCCTTACACAGTGGTACGACAACCTGTCCTTGGGAATAGTACAACGCATTTTGACGTTTTCCCCAACGGCCAATATATAGCGTTATAAATCATAGCAGCTAGCAAAATTGGCCTACTGTTCTGTTTTTCATTAATTGGTCCTCGGTTAGATTAGGTAAGGTTAGATTAGGTTAGGTTGGTTAGGTTAGGTTCGGTTATGTTTGGTTAGGTAAGGTTAGGTTCGGTTAGGTTAGGTTTGCTTCCTGCAATTTATTATATAATTTAATGGACATGGATTGGGCTAGATGAACAATCTAGAGTAGGTAACCTAGATTAAATATGAAGATATTCTTGGGCATTTATGCATGCTAAAGGTTTAGTATTTGAAATATATAACTATCTTAATGTTAAAGTCTTACAAATGCACTTTTACTTTAACAAATAAAGCAAATTTTTAACACTCAAACACGAGTGTTACAATTTGCTTTCGAAATTGCATCTTAAATTGTTATTATCCTGGCACAGGCCCCGCCTCTCTCCCTGAACCCAGAGCCAGTTTGTGAAGGGTTCTGTACTGCATGAAGGTTCCAGAAACCAGGGGCCAGATTCACGAAACAGTTACGAAAGTACTTACGATCGTGTACATCTTTCTTCAATCTTTGACGGCTTTGGTTACATTTATTAAACAGATTACAAGAATGAGAACTTCCCAATCAACTATTGTTATTATTATAAACAGCCTCTTGTGTTTCGGAGCTCATTAAATGTTTAATAATTGTAAACAAACTCGCCAAAGATTGTGAAAAGATTTACAGGTTCGTAAGTGCTTGTGTAACTGCTTCGTGAATCTGGGTTTTTCCAAAGGACACGAAACACAAACACTATGGATCATCTCTAAATGAACATTTAAGTATGTAAGTACTATGTGACGACCTCTCTACCATCTCCACGTCAATAAGGTTGGCATTTACTCTACCATGAAGAGTGCATGGCTTCTATCTCGGTTTCCAGTCCTCTATTGTCTTGATTTCTTCTCACTAAATTCTTCTTTTGTGATAGTGGCACCATAAAAGGACTCGGCCGAGATTATACACACAAAGTCGCGGCTCCTTATCCGGATAGTGGGTCCTGCAAATACCCATAAGACCCTCTTTCCAATTTAGTTTGCCTTGAAGAAGCAACTCTAGCGTCAGTTTCTTTTTAAGCGAGTCGATTTGTCTGTCACTATTTGTATTCTTTATAAACAATGATCTTATTTTATGTGAGAGTGCAATTAGAGTAATTCCAGCTAAATGTGACATCCTATTTCTGAAATTGCAATCTGGTTTAACAAAATCTACTGAGCAAGTTGTGCTAGTTGGGTTCAATCAGTGGATAGGAAACGTTTATAATAACAGTAGGTTAGAACAGTGCTTAGAAGCACTCTGTAAAACAACGGGGCAAGGGAGAGTGATGGGTAGGAGCAGTGGATAGAAAAGATTAGTAGAACAAGTATATAACAGCAGGAGGAAGGGACACTGAATACAAACAGTGATGTGGAACAGTGTGGGTAGATATTGTAGTTAGCAATACTTGTTTGGAATAGTGGGTAGGAGAAATAAACAGAAGATATGGGTAAGAGCAATGGGTATGCGAAAGAAATTTGAGGGATGGGAAGCAGCAGCAGAGAAGAGTCAAAACTGATGTGAGACGGAAACAGTAGACTAGGTAGAGCCGTCTGTGTTGCCTGCATCAGTGTAAAGATTTGCAAGCCTCCTCTCGCTCATACAAAGGATATCCGTCTGAGCCTTAATATACTGACACTATAACAAGTAAACGTTTGATGCAGGATTGTCAAAAGTCACACAAACACGAATATTATCCTCTCCATATCTCTCTCGACCTTAAACCCGCTTCCATTACTGTAATTCCCGGTCTCCACAGGACGGTTGTCTGAGCTAATCCTGTCGTCTTATTTTGTAATCCTCGAGAACCTCCCCTACAGTACACCTGAATAACACAAACCTTAACTTTTATCGCATTTATATATATATATATATATATATATATATATATATATATATATATATATATATATATATATATATATATATATATATATATATATATGTGTGTGTGTACTACTTTGAGGTTCATATATTATGAAATATATGACACACAAAGGAATTCCAAGGCAATACTTGTTAGTAAAATTGCCCATTATTTAATTTTTCTTTCATCGCAATTTCACAATTTCACACTGTATTCAAGAAAGTGGCATCATATCAAAGGAAAGTGTAGAATAATATATAAAAAATAGGGTTAAGAATAAATGTAGAAATTAGTGATATTTAGAAATAAGTGAAGATTTTTTTTACCGATGGGACCCCAGCCCGTCTTCCATCCCTATAGTGGAAGCAGTGTTTTGCTCCTTGCTGAATATAGAGGTATGCGATGGGGTCCACATTTCCTACACATCGGTGTTTTAAACTGTGGTAAATATTATTGTGAAATGAATCGCATTAAGTAGAGTTATGTGTACAACTATATTATATACTATAGTTGAACATATATTAAAACTATATTAATAATTGTAATATGTGTACATCAATATGATAGATAATATTGATGTACCTAATATTCCTGTTTACAAAGTAAATATTTTTTATTACGAATGCACCTCTCTGGGCGGCCATTGCTTGCAAATGCAACATCTTGTTAAGGAAAATATCAACCACCTTTACAGGTTTGTATTTGTACACACTTCGGTTTTGGAAGACATTCTAGTAAAATTAAAATATATAAAAACATCACCAGAATACATATCAAATCCATTCTCATGATTTACTATTAAACACATTTATTTAAAAAAATTATATTATTTAAATACATATGCAGATCAAACTGTAGAAGGGATAAAGGAGAGACATTACGTGTTATATCATTTATTAATGAACCATATAAAAGCTGATATTCATAACAAATATAGATATAAGCCATAAAACACCGGCCATGAACTCGTTACTATCACATAGTCACTATTCTTCCCACCCCGTGTAGCACAATTTGATAGCAGTTAGTATATATATTCTAATTCGTTTTAAATAACTATATGATATAATATTCAACCTGTAAAGTTATAGAGATAACGAGTGAATGATAACTGGATATTAATATTTTATAATTCTTTTGGAATTTTCAAGGCTCTTAACAACGCGTGTAAATGTGTTTACACTATACACAAGATCCCAGGAGCACAGCGATCTGCTTTGTCAAGATTTTATATTTGCAGCGATTTTTGTAAATCTTTGTAAACCTTTGTATGTGTCAGCGTGTGTGGGTTTCAATTGCATCTACCTATGACGACCTAATAGGTCTGTTGCAGGGCATTCTGATTCATTTTCATCCAGATGAAAAAAATTAATAAAATTTTCCTATCTGTCTCCTGTACTTGGATAAACACTATACAATACTTAATTCGTTTTATTTTAAGGAAACTTCATAGTGAGCCATTCGAAATGATACATGTTTAGCTGCACGAACTGACATTAAAAAAAACTTTTTTGTTTGAAATTCTAAACAATATATCCATTATGTCTTTAAAATTATTTTTATGTATATATCTACATGTTTCTGTGAGACAGCAGAAACAGTAATATTACACAGGAACATTGACAATTTTCTGATTTATTTTCCTACAAAATATTACTTAATCTCATTATTAGATTCGCAATTCCTTCATATACTTTATATCAGTGCTTGGTCATTACGATCTAACATCCGTACGTAACCTCATGATTATTATCACCTTAGTTATGTAAAACATTTCGTTTTGTATCTTCAAGCTTTGGATATCTATCACACACACACACACACACACACACACACACACACACACACACACACACACACACACACACACACACACACACACACACACACACACACACACACACATATATATATATATATATAAATATATATATATATATGAGTGTGTATGTGTACTCACCTAGTTGTGCTTTCGGGGCTTGAGCTCTGGCTCTTTGGTCCCGCCTCTCAACCGTCAATCAACAGGTTTACAGATACCAGAGCCTATTGGGCTCTATCATATCTACACTTGAAACTGTGTATGAAGTCAGCCTCCATCACATCGCTTCCTAATGCATTCCATTTGTCAACCACTCTGACGCTAAAAAAGTTCTTTCTAATATCTCTGTGGCTCATTTGGGCGCTCAGTGTGTGTGTGTGTGTGTTTGTGTTGTCAAAGTTCCATAAATAACGTTTCTGGGCCCTGCAAGAATGTTATCGTTGTCACAATAAAATGCACGCACACTATTTTGCAAATTATGACATATGTTATATGAATTATTGTTTTTCTTGCCCTTAGGGTCACGTTCACTCTTGCTGAGAGAGAGAGAGAGAGAGAGAGAGAGAGAGAGAGAGAGAGAGAGAGAGAGAGAGAGAGAGAGAGAGAGAGAGAGAGAGAGAGAGAGAGAGAGGAGAGAGAGAGAGAGAGAGAGAGAGAGAGAGAGAGAGAGAGAGAGAGAGAGAGAGAGAGAGAGAGAGAGGGAGAGGAGAGAGAGAGAGAGAGAGAGAGAGAGGGAGAGGGAGAGGGAGAGAGAGAGAGAAGAGAGAGAGAGAGAGAGAGAGAGAGAGAGAGAGAGAGAGAGAGAGAGAGAGAGAGAGAGAGAGGGAGAGGGAGAGGGAGAGAGAGAGAGAGAGAGAGAGAGAGAGAGAGAGAGAGAGAGAGAGAGAGAGAGAGAGAGAGAGGAGAGAGAGAGAGAGGGAGAGAGAGAGAGCGAGCAATAGGCGAGCGAGAAGGATCATCAGAGGACCAAGATGTCATTACTGGGGCCTGGAAGTGTCTTCAACAGTGAGTGATGATATTAGTCAACGCCATTAGCCTCCAGTCGTTGTTGCTTCCCTTTTCTTCCCAGGGCTCGTCTTTTCTCCCCCTGCCTCCCGATGACAATGTCCCCTGCCTCGTTACTATTACGGCTGATTTCACTACGGTTGTATCTCTGCATCAATTTCCATTATTTTTCCATTATTCTCGAGTTTCTCTTTTCTATATATTTTGGCGTTCTTCTCCTCGGTTCCCAACCGTCGCTATTTTAGCCTAGTTTCTGTATGTAATGTGATGTGACATTTTTATTGTCTCTCAGGTAATTTTTCTGTTGGAAAAACATTTTTCTGTTCAAATATAAGGCCTAGAACCTTACAAGAAACTCGTTCTTATTAATTTAAACACTTTTCTGTGGCATTTCTAAAATAGGTCATAAGCCAGTATGATTCTACTTTTTTTTAAAAAGCATTGGCCTAAGTGCAAAGGGCGCATATCATTGCTCTTCTTTTCATGTAGTTGCAGTGCAAAATTTATATGAAACAGAATGCCAAAGATAAATCTAAATTATGATTCGCTAATTATCCTGACAGAGCTTAACAATTTGCTAACTTGTTCTGATGTTATATGAGGAAAACATGAATATACTTGAAACACTATAATTCCTTTTCCTCGTTTACATAATTCGAAGACAAAGTGCAGTTTTATTACTCTGGCATCATGTACACAGTTATGGTTCGAGAAACTTTGACATCTTCATAAGTTCGCTGTTGCTCCACTCCACCTTGAACATCTATGTCACTGAAATTACACAGGACTAGTTAATACGCAACGCACTCATTGTGACATCTAGGTCTCTATATGGACATCCTGACGTCTATGTTGACGTATTAGCTTCTGTATTGACATCTTCGAATGTACGTTGACATCTTCGCATCTATATTGACGGGTGAGTCTCTATATGTCAAGACTTCTGACCTCTAATATCTCCACTCTAGGTCACTTGATATTACAGGAGTGTTGGGACAAGTGACTAGGTTGAGGAAAAGTCTCAGACGCAAAGGATCGCGCCAGAAAGGAAGTGAATCGACTGAGTGTCGGGATGCGGGAGAGAGTGAGAGAAGAGGTAGATTGCAATACAACATTAGAGGCACACATGAGCACACGAGACGTGTATAGAGGGACCATGAGGGGAAATGATAGAAATAGGGAAATAACTATAGAGCTGCGACAAGCAGAACGGAGCGTCTGAGAATTAGAGAAAGGAAACTGTACTTTGAGACTGAGGCAAGTATAAACGATCGTACCACAACAAACGACCAGTTGAGGAGAAATACAAATAGATAAGAGGCTAGTTAAGCTTGAAGACACAAGATATGTTGTACAGACACTGAATATAAGACACGGAGGGAGAGATAAATGGTATAAAGGAACCAGTAAACTGCCCGTGAGCATCATAAGCCACTGAGAGGCACGAGTGTGAAGAAGGTGAATAACGTGGGAATTAGAGTAAATCAGAAGAAAGTTGTAAATATAAATAAAACAGTGAAGGAGAGAAAGGTTAGCTTGTGAAACAAACCAACACAGGAGCAGGCAGGAAATGACAGGCATGCAGGAGTGAAAAGTGTGGAGACAGAAGAAGGCTTGAGGGAGGTAGAGAAGGAGAAGGAGGAGGAGAAGGAGGTGAGATAGAAGGGAGAGAGGAGCAAGCGTCGAGGAGGAGCTCGTCTCGTTCATCCCAGCTTGCTGAATCGCTGCCTCTTGATTTCCTGTTGAGTGAAAGACAATACAGTCAGTAAATAAGATGTGTTATTTTGTAACTCTAAATAACAATTTAATGATATATATAAAACTCTACATCAGTTATAGTTCTATAACTTTGTTATTCAAAATTCAATTTTATGATATATAAAAATCAGAACTAGATTTATAAACCAACGTTTATGGAGTGCTAAACACTTAAAGTTGTGGATACGACAAAGGATTGTCTAGTATAAGGTTAAAGGGCTTTAATTAATTACTCTTTATTAATATTTTTATTATTTTACTCAGTTACTAATAAACTATTTTATATAATCTCGTAACTTCCTTCGTGGATAATTTTCAAATGCTGGAAAAAATATTTTCTTCTCAGTTAAATATAGATCACAACCATTGATTATTATTTATTCCTCTGTATGTACCACAGAGGAGGTGGAGTAGACGGTACAGTACTGATGGTGTAGGTACAACAGAGGAAGTGTAGTAGACGGTACAGTACTGATGGTGTAGGTACAACAGAGGAAGTGTAGTAGACAGTACAGAACTGATGGTGTAGGTACAACAGAGGAAGTGTAGTAGACAGTACAGTACTGATGGTGTAGGTACAACAGAGGAAGTGTAGTAGACAGTACAGTACTGATGGTGTAGGTACAACGGAGGAAGTGTAGTAGACAGTACAGTTCTGATGATGTAGGTACTACAGAGGAAGTGTAGTAGACAGTACAGTACTGATGGTGTAGGTACAACAGAGGAAGTGTAGTAGACGGTACAGTACTGATGGTGTAGGTACTATAGAGGAGGCGGAGTAAGAGCTTCATAGGGGTATCTCGTAGTGAAAGTGAGCCCTGTAAAAGAGTTGGCATTTGCACTCAAGAGGAGAAAAGTGGACACTACAAAGAAGTGTATTTAACACTAGAAGAGAATATAAGGTATTACAAAATAGGAAAAAATGGCAATACAGTAAAAAAAAGTATAAAAGTTGTATGACTAAACTGGTTGAGGAGACACTGTGATGAAGGAGAAAAGGCAGAAAGTCATATTCCATAATGTGGTAAATCCCTCACCCCCAGCGCCTGTTTCCACCCTCCACGAGCAAAACTATGACAAGGAAAGAGAAATGGGGAAATCTTGAGTAAAAAAACCTATTCATCCACTTTGATAGGTTGGTACAGCGAAACTCTCCCTTTTTGCAATGTCGGCGTTCGATCTCCAATTTCCCGAGTGGATGAGCACCATTCCTTCACTCTGTCTTCATATTCCGACACTCACTCTGTACACAAATTTCTTTCAAAGTGCTATATTTTCATATTGGTTCTAGCTATCTCTTATGATAATATCTTTTCATTACTTTAGTAAACCAAAATTAAATTTATATATAACTCACCTTTGTAGAGTTGGACTGATCTTAAGTGACATGGACTTAAGGTGATCAGGCTGGACTATCTTGGTGAACGTGGACAGACTTTAGTGAGTCTGGACCCTCCATGGTTGACCTGGAATGACCTTCATCGACCTAGATTGACCTTCGCGGGCCTGATCTTACCTTCGAGTACCTGAACCAATTTTGATTGACCTTGAATGACCTTGGTGTACATAGACTCACCTGGATAGACCTGGACACTCATTGGTGGACCTGGACTCACCTTGGTGGACCTGGACTCGAACGGAGGCTGGGTGAGAGCCGGCAGGAACACAAGAGTACATCCCAGAATCCTCAGCTCCCACCTTCTCAACCACCAACCTGGCTGTGGTCTCTCCTGTGTCGTGGTCAATCTGTGGTGGGTAGAGATAGATAACGTTTGGAGGTAGACAGTGCTTAGAGGCCTCGATATTGAAGCATTACTCACGGATCGAACCCTTGTTCCCTAGGAGGTCTGGGACGAAGGATTCGATCCCATCATTTGACTTCAATATTTGATTAGTGATTGAGTACTTGTCATGGTTACAGATATAGACAGTACTCATATTTTACCTGTGCCATCACTTGTATGTTATTTGCTATATTAAATTATTACTGTGATTACTGTGATATCAGGATAAAAAAAACATGCAAGCATACATAATGTGGACCATTGTGCAATTAGAAAGTAGAATTTGGTACTATTTAATTTAGACAAACCTGGAAAGGTTGTGTATTTATGTTGCTAATAAAACCTACCCTAACCATCCTAGGCCTAATACACGCTATTTGAGTTTTTATGGTACATCTTTATGGTACACATTTAAAGTACATATTTATGATACTTATAAGGTGAATAATATTTGTCATAATTGGCCTTGGAATATTTAAGTTTGGTTTTTAGTTTTAGTTTTTTTTTGGACTTTAGGAAGTCAATAGTACCAAATTACATTTATTAATTATCCATTACGTCAATATATGTACGATGGTCCACATAGTACTAAAAAAAGTACTCTCTAAACAGGAGGTTGGGTAGTTTTTCTATACCTCTATTTATGATAAATTTTACTTCGCATTTTTACACCATACATATAATTTCCTAAAGAACCCTTCGGTATCTTTTCTCTTAATAGTGTTAACTGACTCGTTCAGTAAGGCCAGCATGTCGCACACCATGTAATAGTGACTTAAGCAAAGTTTGTGATTTTTCCGTGAGATTTACCACTGTCAACTCTTTGGTATGATATTGGGAAGATATCACATAAATGATGAGGTTAGGATGATGATTTTAATATTTCCTCATGAGTAAGTGTAACCATCATGACTCTTTTTTCTACTTGTAGTCAATGATGCATGCAGGTGTCTGATCTCTCGGATGTGAAGAGTCCTACCTGAAGCAGGAGTTAAGCCTTGGTACAGACATGTCGATTACATCTTGCATATGGTGTCTGATCCTTGGGTAATGGCTACCCACCTTAAGTGCTATGTTTACCTTGGTGGGATATTGTTCATGACACCTGAGTTTTGGTTTCTTTCCCACAGGCAAGTGATACTCACCCTCAGACAAGTGATACTCACCCTCAGGCAAGTATTACTCACCCTCAGGCAAGTGATACTCACCTTAAGCTTGATACCGCCCCTGGCAGAGGCATAGTCTATCATGCGTGTGTCGTGGTACCAGTAGACCAGCGTAGACGGACCGTAGGTTGATGTAACAAGACAGCTGATAGTGAGAGAAGACCCTTCCTCGATGTTCAACTCTCGTGGTCCCAGGATTTCTACCCGAAGGTGACCTGGCCGACCAAAGTGGGAAGAGAGAGTTTGCTGCAAATTTAAAGTTTTCTTAATGTATCTCAGTTGATTCATGTAATGTAGTACTGTAGAGTGGGACGGGAATTGGAATTGGTAAGGACTTGGGATGGGGACAAGGGAAGAAATGGTGCCCAACCAGTTGGACGGTCATGGAATATTTAAACGCTGACCTGCATGACGCGAGACCGTAATTTTTATAATTAATGTCTAATAAGCAAACAATATCTAACAGTCGTCACATTGCAATACAAACGGCAGTTTTTATACAAATAGGAAATCATCTTGAGTCTGTACCTTAATATTTACTCTATTCTACGTCTAATTACAAAATTATTGTAATTCACTTATTACACACACGGAAGCAGCTAGTCAATACACACTGGGGAAGATATCTCTGTTGATGATCAAAGGTATACTGACAAGCAATACTCAAATAATTGACAGATAAAGCATCAAAAGCAAATTGGATGATGGCGAGGCATTCCCCATCAAACCCAACCAACCATCAACACCCAATTAACACGAGGTTACACTTTAGTATTTTCTTGAACACGACCAAACATTCAACATACTTGCCCAGCTATCATTGGAACATTGGAGATTGGTAAGCTGCAGTGGGTTTATTAGCCCGTAGTGGGGGAGCTTGACCTCATCCCCGATTATATATTTTCGGCTGCTGTAAAATGTTAACCTCTGCCTCTCATAATGTGGAAAAGAGTAAACGAAATGCATCTCTTAGCGTCAGGCTATAATAAAACTATACATTGAACTTTAGGGAGTGAATTTTTTCTACTGTTGATTGCTGAATCAATCAGCAGTCAACAACCAGTTACCACATAATTACATTCTACCCACTTCAAGACCCCGAGCCAATGCAGAGACAGGAATAAATGACCCTGCCTTAGGAACACAAGCAGCAACAAGAACATATGCAGCCCATGTTGATTCATTTAATAACCTTTCAATACCCCGTATATTATGCCATTCATACAATTGTTCTTTACCACCTTACCCAAAGAGAATATAAAGCCAGTCCTAAACAAGGTAAACTTGGTAACTTGAGCTTCATAAGTTGTATCATGAGACAGAGAGGAAGAGGCTTAGTATTCCTCCCTGCGGAGTCCCATTTTCCAGCCTTTTTGAGACGAATGTTTTCTTTGAAACTTCACTTTAGCTTCTCTGTTGAGCAGACTTCATTTGGAAGTCTGCTCATTTGGAAGTCTTGGAAAAGGCAAGAGCGTGTTCTTTAATATATATATATATATATATATATATATATATATATATATATATATATATATATATATATATATATATATATATATATATATATATATACATACATATATTCTTATCTTAGACAATGATGACGAGGAAGAAGTGCTTACCGTCCCTGGTGGAAGCTGTGTTGTTAGCCACGAAGACCTTACTCTTGCTCACACTTATCGGCTGCGTCGAGTCTGAGTCAAAGAAATGATAAAATTACTTTTGATTGGTGACATTTCTAAGATTTGCAATGTGCTGTGGTTTTGTTTTATTGTTTTTTATATAAATGCATACAAATAATATATAAATATATATTTTTGGTAATGACAGCGACTTTAAAATGTTTTTAAATAAGCTGGGCTACTGTGAGGGTTCATGGATTAAGCTATTCTAAACCTAGCCAGAAAGCTGCATCAAATTACACCGTTTAAATGTCGAAATTTAATAAAATACGCATTAGTATACCAAAATATAGAGGCTGAATTATTAACTCATTAATCAAGGGAATATTGTACATTGTTTATAAGTCAGAGCTCCAGTAAAAACAACTGTGGAACACACACACACACACACACACACACACACACACACACACACACACACACACACACACACACACACACACACACACACACACACACACACACACACACACACACACACACACACAAACACACACACACACACACACACACACACACACACACACACACACACACACACACACACACAAACATACACACACAAACACACACACACACACACACACACACACACACACACACACACACACACACACACACACACACACACACACACACACACACACACACACACACACACACACACACACACACACACACACACACACACACACATGTATAGGGGCATATGGAGAAAGTAACAAAAAAATCTGCGAGGTACTGAATGCATGTTTCCATGGAGTGTTCACTACCGAGCTTCAGCAGCTCCCATTGTTAGAAGGGATTATCCTAGATGAAAGACTATCAGATTTAGAGGTGACAGCAGAGGAGGCAATGAAACAGTTGACAACACTGGATGCAACTAAAGCGGTTGGACCAGACAAAGTATCACCGTGGATAATAAAAGAGGCAGCGCAGGCTCTCAGCGTTCCTCTGGCAATGATCTTTAATGAGTCACTTATGTCGGGAGAATTGCCCAGTTGCTGGAAGGAGGCAAATATCGTACCGATCTTCAAGAAAGGTGAAATGGAGGAGGCACTTAACTACAGACTCGTATCACTGACAAGCATCCCCTGCAAAATACTTGAAAGAATAATTAGGCTAAGACTTGTTGAGCACCTGGAGAGCATTGGGTTTGTAAACAAGCACCAACATGGGTTCTGGACAGGGAAATCATGCCTAACAAACCTTTTAGAATTCTATGATAAAGTAACAAGGATAAGGCAGGACAGAGAAGGCTGGGCAGACTGGATATTTCTTGACTGCCAAAAGGCCTTTGATTCAGTTCCGCACATGAGACTGCTATACAAACATGAGAGGCAGGCAGGAGTAAGCGGAAAGGCCCTAGTATGGGTGAAGAACTACCTCACAGGAAGGAGCCAGAGGGTAATGGTAAGGGGCGAGAAGTCGGACTGGCGAACAGTAACGAGCGGAGTACCTCAAGGATCGGTGCTGGGACCAATCCTTTTTCTAATTTACGTAAATGATATGTTTACCGGAGTGGAATCCTATTTGTCAATGTTTGCGGATGACGCAAAATTAATGAGAAGAGTTGTGACAGATGAGGATTGTAGGATCCTCGAAGAGGACTTAAACAGGTTGCAGAGATGGTCAGGGAAATGGTTACAGGAGTTCAACACGAGTAAATGTAAAGTTATGGAAATGGGATCAGGTGATAGGCGACCAAAGGAACAGTTCACAATGAAGGGGAACTGCCTACCTGTAACGATTCGAGAAAGAGACCTGGGAGTGGATGTGACATCTAATCTAACTCCTGAGGCACATATAAATAGGATAACGACAACAGCGTACTCTACACTGGCGAAAATTAGAACTTCATTCAGAAACCTAAATGAGGAGGCTGTTAGGGCGCTTTACACTGCCTACGTGAGACCAGTCTTAGAGTATGCTGTACCATCATGGAGCCCCCACCTGAAGAAACACATAAAGAAACTGGAAAAGGTTCAGAGGTTTGCGACGAGGCTTGTCCCAGAGTTACGAGGGATGGAATATGAAGAGCGTCTGAAGGAACTGAACCTTACAACACTAGAGAAAAGAAAGGAGAGAGGAGATACGATAGAGACATATAAAATACTCAGAGGAATTGACAAAGTGGAAATAGATGAAATGTTCACATGTAATAATAACAGAACGAGGGAACATGGGTAGAAACTGGAAACTCAGATGAGTCACAGAGATGTTAGGAAGTTTTCTTTTAGCGTGAGAGTAGTGGAAAAATAGAATGCACTTGGGGAACAGGTTGAGGAAGCAAACTCTATTCATACTTTTAAAATTAGGTATGATAGGGAAATGGGACAGGAGTCATTGCTGTAGACAACCGATGGCTGGAAAGGTAGGATCCAAGAGTCAATGCTCGATCCTGCAAGCACAAATAGGTGAGTACACACACACACACACACACACACACACACACACACACACACACACACACACACACACACACACACACACACACACCCACACACTTGGATAACCTATCCAAGGATGGGAGTGGAGGGAAAAAGACTGAATTATCGAAGAGGATAATATGACGAGATGAGGAACTTCCTCAGGGGAATATCATGGGAAACAGAACTTAGAGACAAGAATGTGCAGGTCATGATAGATTTTGTCACCCAGAAGTGCCAGGAAGCTGCAGACAGGTTTATCCCCGTCCAAAAGGAGAAAAACGAAAAACAACAGAAAAACCCATGGTTCAACCAGGAATGTAAGGTAGCGAAGCAACTTGAGTAAATGAACATGGAGAAACTACAGAAATAACAGAACACCAGAGAGCAGTGAGAGATACCAGAGGGCCAGAAATGAGTACCTCAGAGTGAGGAGGGAAGCAGAGAGGCAGTTTTAAAATGACATCGCGAGTAAAGCCAAGACCCAACCAAAGCTGCTCCACAGCCACCTCAGGAGGAAAACAGCAGTGAAGGAACAAGTGATGAAGCTGCGGAAAGGGGAGAACAGATACACAGAGAATGACAAGGAGGTGTGTGAAGAACTCAACAAGAGATTCCAGGAGGTCTTCACAATAGAACAAGGAGAAGCCCCTGCACTAAATGAGGAGGTGGCAAACCAAGCAACCTTGGAGGAATTTGACCTCACCAGTGATGAGGTCAAAAGGTGTCTGCTGGAGCTGGATGTGACAAAGGGTGTTGGGCCTGATAGAATCTCACCATGGATACTAAAGGAAGGTGCAGAAGCACTAAGTGTGCCACTCTCTATGGTGTATAACAGGTCACTGGAAACAGGAGACTTACCAGAAAGTTGGAAGACAGCTAACGTGGTCCCAATATACAAAAAGGGTGACAGGCAAGAGGCACTGAATTACAGGCCAGTTTCCTTAACTTGTATACCATGCATGGTGATGGAGAAGATCGTGAGGAAAAGGCTCGTAGAGCATCTGGAGGGAAATAACTTTGTAACGCACCACCAGCATGGGTTCAGAGATGGTAAATCGTGCCTCACAGGTTTAATAGAATTTTATGACCAGGCAACGAAAATTAGGCAGGAAAGAGAAGAGTAGGCCGACTGCAATTTCCTGGATTGCCAGAAAGCCTTTGACACAGTACCCCATAAAAGGCTGTTAATAAAGTTGGAGCAACAGGCAGGAGTAAAAGGGAAGGTGCTCCAGTGGATAAGGGAGTACTTAAGCAACAGGAAACAGCGAGTAAGGGTGAGGGGGGAGACATCAGAGTGGCGAGATGTCACCAGCGGAGTCCTACAGGGCTCAGTACTTGAACCCATCCTGTTTCTAATATATGTGAACGATCTTCCAGAGGGTATAGACTCATTCCTCTCAATGTTTGCTGATGATGCAAAAATTATGAGAAGAATCATGACGGATGAAAATAGACAGAGACTACAGGATGACCTCGATAAACTGGAGGAATGGTTTTGAAAATGGCAGCTAAAGTTCAACTCAGGAAAGTGTAAGGTGATGAAATTAGACGAAGGGAGCAGGAGGCTGAACCCAAGGTATCATCTGGGAGGGGAAATCCTCCAAGAGTCAAATAGAGAGGAGGATCTGGGGGGTTGATATCACACCGAACCTGTCCCCAGAGACCCACATCAAAAGAATATCATCAGCGGCATATGCTAGACTGGCCAACATAAGAACTGCCTTCAGAAACTTGTGTAAGGAATCTTTCAGAACCCTGTATACCACTTATGTAAGACCAGTCCTGGAGTATGCAGCTCCAGCCTGGAGTCCATACCTAGTTAAACACAAGACAAAGTTAGAGAAGATTCAGCGGTATGCCACCAGGCTCGTCCCGGAACTGAGAGGATTGAGCTACGAGGAAAGGCTAAAGGAGCTGAACCTCACATCCCTGGAAAACAGAAGAGTAAGGGGAGACATGATAACCACCTACAAAATTCTCAGGGGAATTGACAGGGTGGACAAAGACAAACTTTTCAGCACGGGTGGGACACGAACAAGGGGACACAGGTGGAAACTTAGTTCCCAGATGAGCCACAGAGACGTTAGAAAGAATTTTTTCAGTGTTAGAGTAGTTAACAGATGTAATTCATTTGGCAGTGATGTGGTGGAGGTAGACGCCATGTACAGTCTCAAATGTAGATTTGACAGAGCCCAATAGGCTCAGGAATCTGTACACCGGTTGAGAGGCGGGACCACAGAGGCAAAGTTCAACCCTAGCAAGCTTAACTAGGCGAATACAACTAGGTGACTACAAAAACACGAGACCTCAGGGCTAAGTGGACAGCGCTTGGGAGTCATAGTCCTAATGTCCTAGGTTCGATTTCGGGCTGAGGCGGAAAAAACGGGCGGAGTTTCTTTCATCCTGATGCACCAGTTCACCTAGCAGTAAATAGGTACTTCGGAGATAGACAACCGAAACAATTGCTTCCTGGGATGTATGTGTGTATGTGTGTGTGCCTTTGTTAGAAAAATAAATGTAGCAGACATATTAGAGAGCATATAGATTGTTTAGAAAGGCAGGGTCCAAGAGCTATCAAGTCGATTCTGCAGGCACAAATAGTATTTACAAATAGTAAATAGACACATACACACACACGCGCTCGCGCACATAACGAAACACAAACAGCGCCAAACTAGACAGGTTCACCATCAAAGAAACAACAGCAAGGGCAAGCCGCTAGAAATAAGCACTATAAAAGAAAAAGTCAGACTGCAACAACTCAGGCGGTGCACTGCAGCCTCACCAATATTACACAAGTTCTCAGCACAGTGGTAATATCTGTCGGCTAGAGGTGCTGGCCCAGGTTTTCCTGACAGCTCCATTTTGTCGCGGAAGTCAGCTGGCTTGTGACGACGGACTCCAACACATAGATTGACGACTCTCTTAGCCAGCTGCCACAATATTTCCCTTCCGGAGCGGAAGGTTTGTTCCTCGTTTATATAAGGAATGGACCGGCAGTATTACCAAAGCGTTGCCACATAACAAGAAACTGGAATATTTATCAGAGCTCGTGGACGCTACGTTCTCCCAACTGGTTGCCATATGGGTAAAATATTTCTAAAAAATATTTATCTTTGCAAATTTAAGCAAATATTAATTAAGTGTTTATTTTTGTTTTAGTTATTTGATCCGAAATCTCCTGTGTTAATAATATAGTTACTTCTACTGGTAAATAACTTCAACTGTCATATATATATATATATATATATATATATATATATATATATATATATATATATATATATATATATATATATATATATATATATATATATATATATATATATATATATATATATATATATATATATATATATATATGCAAACAAGCCTGAATGGTTCCCAGGACTATATACAACTGAAAACTCACACCCCAGAAGTGACTCGAACCCATACTGCCAGGAGCAACGCAACTGGTATGTACAGGGACGCCTTAATCCGCTTGACCATCACGACCGGACAAAAGGAAGTGATAGCCGAAGCTATTTGAACCACTTCCCCGCTGGCACTCGGATGGTAATCTTGGGCATAGCATTTTATCAAATCACCTCATTCTTTGGGGCACACGTGAGGAACACAAATGCAAACAAGCCTGAATGGTTCCCAGGACTATATACAACTGAAAACTCACACCCCAGAAGTGACTCGAACCCATACTGCCAGGAGCAACGCAACTGGTATGTACAGGGACGCCTTAATCCGCTTGACCATCACGACCGTACAAAAGGAAGTGATAGCCGAAGCTATTTGAACCACTTCCCCGCCGGCACTCGGATGGTAATCTTGAGCATAGCATTTTATCAAATCACCTCATTCTTTGGGGCACACGTGAGGAACACAAATGCAAACAAGCCTGAATGGTCCCCAGGACTATATACAACTGAAAACTCACACCCCAGAAGTGACTCGAACCCATACTGCCAGGAGCAACGCAACTGGTATGTACAGGGACGCCTTAATCCGCTTGACCATCACGACCGGACAAAAGGAAGTGATAGCCGAAGCTATTTGAACCACTTCCCCGCCGGCACTCGGATGGTAATCTTGGGCATAGCATTTTATCAAATCACCTGTGCAAATTATATAAATAAGTGTAATACACTCTATAGTAAATCACTTCTTTTCTTCACCTTAAAAGTACGAAAATGAGTTTTGGAGAACTCCTATTTCAATTAAGCCCTGATGCTAAGAAAATAGTTAGAGGGATAGAAGCCCTAAACCAGAAAATAATAAATACAGAATATGCGGTCATATTCAATGAAAAAAAAAATATATATATATATATAAATATATTTATATATAAATATATATACATATATATATATATATATATATATATATATATATATATATATATATATATATATATATATATATATATGTGTGTGTGTGTTTGTATGTGTGTATTGTGTTACATGTAATCAAGTCGACGTACTCACCATAGACGTTGAGAGTGACGGGTCTGGAGAGTTTGGGATCAGTGTTGACCTGGCACTCGTAGATACCAGAGTCCCTAAGCTGGGCTGATGTCACTACCAGGGTCCACTGGTCGCTGCCGGGACTGTGGACCACCTGCAGCAATTAGAGATAGACAGGCATGGGAGTAGCTCAAGCAGCACCTCACCTGCACAAAGCCCCCTCATCTGAGAATATAAGGCGAACACTATCAGTTTATTCAGTTACGGTCTATTATATGCCCGTGCCACCTCTTGGGTGGCTTAATCTTCTTCAATCAGTTAATTCAACCTATCCTCTGATATGGGGAAGTGAATTATCAGGGGAAAGCGCCGATCCATTACGACTATATAGCACTTGGAAGGGGTCAGAATAAAGATTTGGGATGGGACGGGGGAAAGGAATGGTGTCCAACCGGTTATAAAAAACCGCTAGTTTTTTTCCAGTTCACGATGAGAACATCTAGACTTAACACATAATGCGTTTTCTCAGTAGATTTACACTTTTTGGATCAAACCTCAATTTATGAATTTAGATTTATTCTATAAAAAAAAATCCCGATGAGTGTTAAGAAATACATATGAGTGATGAGTACCTGGAACCTGTCGTCAGCCGAGTATGTGTGGTGGCCAGTAGTCAGGATGTGAAGGTCTCGTCGCCTCAACCACGTCACCTGCAGTAATATTTCCAAAGTTTAGATATAATCAACACAATATATATATATATATATATATATATATATATTTATATATATATATATATATATATATATATATATATATAGTTTATATATATATATATATACATTTATAATATGTATTTATATAAATAAATATATAATATGGAATACAAAATGGAATACAATCCATTTTTTTGCTTAAAAAATTATACAAAGTTATACAATTATATATCAATTATAAAATTGCTGAGAGAGGTTATACTAACCTCTCTCAACACTAATTTCACCGAGAAAGACGCCCAAACTTTACTTGCGAAAGATAACAAACCATCTAGTTAGGGCTTATAAGTTCATTATGGACGTTACCTGATATGAAGGTAAGAGATTGAGTGGATACAAATATTCTAAGTCCTAAGGGTTATGAACGAGATTCTGCGACGGCGCTAAAACCAAGGGAATTGGCGTTTGCCTTTCCATTTGACAATTTCAGCATAGTAGCGAAGGAGGACCTGCTGCATGGGTAACAGCTTCTCCTCCATATTGTGCTACTCTGGTTTTTCGCCCTGGAGAGGACACTTCGGCATCGATAACCTGAGCGCAACTTCATAGTCTCTCGAGACTATGGAGTTGCTATCTATTACCGGGCGCTTGTTAATCACCCTTGGGACTCAGGACGTGTGATGCAGTATTTGTTTCCAATCAGTCTCTTACCTTAATATCAGGTAACTTTCGTAACGAACTTATAAAGATTGGTGGGGTGGCTGTCATGTTTAGCGTAATCATCCTGACTCTTCCTGATTATATAGGAATATATGTTGTCATACCTGTCAATTTATATTCAATTTCCTTAACGAAACCCGTTCATATAAGCCATCTTAGCGACACACGTCAGGCCCATTAAAATTGTTCATTAAATTTGTCGAGCAAATGTTTCACCTTCATCATTAAAGACCTTGAAAACCAAAGCAAATATTCGTGTTAGAATAATGGTTCGAATTATTTCGGTTATATTCAATAACACTTCTTAAAAGGAATGAGTGCTTCACAAAAATACATATATAATAATAAAAATAATCAATGTTGAGGTAGTAGTGCGTGTCTACGGCAAGTCATGGAGACAGGAATTCGACACCATTGTATGGACTCAAACTTTAAACATTATACCGCTTCGATATTGGTGATTTCCATTTTCATTTACCAGATTGGAAGATGGTGAATATACCTACCACAATAAAAGTATGGGGACATGTTTACCATGTAAAAGTTGGAATGTCGGAATACCAGCTCGTTGACTCCCAAATGTGTTCAGTAGAAGAACTGTTTTTGTCACTTTTGGATGCGTAGTGTGTGTACTCACCTATTTGTGCTTACGAGGGTTGAGCTCTGGCTCTTTGGTCCGGCCTCTAAACTGTCAATCAACTTATGTACAGGTTCCTGAGCCTACTGGGCTCTATCATATCTACACTTGAAATTGTGTATGGAGTCAGCCTCCCCACATCACTGCCTAATGCATTCCACTTGCCAACTACTCTCTCTGGTCCCTCTCTCTCTCTCTGTGTCTCTCTGGTAAGGCTTGGGACGGAAGTAAGATCCCACCATACTGACTCATTATTTTCACTTAACATTACGTGATCTCAGATTACATTGACCAGCATGGTCTTCTGATGGATGTCATACTCTCTAAGCTTTAGGCTGTTGTAAGATGAAAGCACCTCAGATAGTAGATAGTAGATTGATAGTACATAGTATATATGTCCCTCATTAGATGGGACATCTAATGAGGAAATAAAAAGTATGATGAGGATCGATGCCATCAATCAACCTTCCATCTTCCTTAGGTTCGTGCTTTTCTTGTCAAGGATCTCGTCAGTGGCGTTTGGGCCGAGATGTTGCTGTTTAGAAAACACTGTTTAGAAAACAAGAAATGGAGACGGGACATTTTGATCTCATGTCAGGATCCTCTTGCCTTGAGAGGAAGAATGGCTGCTATGCTTATATAGTATGGTCTGGTGAACTGGGAACGGCTGCGTATGGTTATTTAGTATGGTCTGGTGATCTGGGAACGGCTGTGTATGGTTATATAGTATGGTATGGTGTACTGGGAACGGCTGCGTATGGTTATATAGTATGGTCTGGTGAACTGGGAACGGCTGCGTATGGTTATTTAGTATGGTCTGGTGAACTGGGAACGGCTGCGTATGGTTAAATAGTATGGTCTGGTGAACTGGGAACGGCTGCGTATGGTTATATAGTATGGTCTGGTGAACTGGGAACGGCTGCGTATGGTTATATAGTATGGTATATAGTAAGGGGCCTCGTAGCCTGGTGGATAGCGCGCAGGACTCGTAATTCTGTGGCGCGGGTTCGATTCCCGCACGAGGCAGAAACAAATGGGCAAAGTTTCTTTCACCCTGAATGCCCCTGTTACCTAGCAGTAAATAGGTACCTGGGTGTTAGTCATCTGTCACGGGCTGCTTCCTGGGGGTGGAGGCCTGGTCGAGGACCGGGCCGCGGGGACACTAAAGCCCCGAAATCATCTCAAGATAACCTCAAGATATGGTCTGGTGAACTGGGAACGGCTGCGTATGCTTATATAGTATGGTCTGGTGAACTGGGAACGGCTGCGTATGGTTATTTAGTATGGTCTGGTGAACTGGGAACGGCTGTGTATGGAAGCGACAGATACTTAAGTGTAGTAAACTAGAACTGCGCTTTCTCTGCCCAGTTATGTGCAGCAGTTCAGGCGGACAATACAAGTTAAATTAATGGATTCAGTTTTATGTCATCATATAATCATTCTGTAAGATCTTTGATTTGTTACATCAACTACGTGTTTTGATTACCAATCTGTTATCTCAACATATATTTTTTCAAACTGTGAATGGAACGATCGACGAAATTGTTATATTCGAGCAAAGGGAACCTCAACCTGGTAATCCTGTGTTGAACCCCTTGTTTGGTGAGGTATTTTTGAGGGAGGGAGTTGTAGAGAAGCTAATATGTAGGGAATGTTTTTTGTGGCCACATCTCTGTGTGAGAGTCTGAATGTACCGAATTGGGGCGGTTGAATGCAGTTTATTTTTAATAATATTGATGCAGGACTGAATGGTGGTGAAGGACTGAATGGTGGTGCAGAGTTGCATTGTGGTGTAGTGATCAGTGATGGTGTAGACGTGAATGATGGTGTATGTCTGAGTGATGATATATGGGTGAATGTTGTTGGACAAAATAGTGTTGGTGTAATGCTGAATGGCTGAGTAGAACTGAATGCAGGTGTAGAACTGAATGCAGGTGTAGGACTGAATGCTGGTGTAGGACTGAATGCTGGTGTAGGACTGACTGCAGGTGTGGACTGAATACTGGTGTGGACTGAATGCAGGTGTAGGACTGAATGCTGGTGTAGGACTGACTGCAGGTATAGGACTGAATGCTGTTGTAGGACTGAATGCTGTTGTAGGACTAAATGCTTGTGTTGGTTTGACTGCAGGTGTAGGACTGAATGCTGGTGTTTGACTGAATGCTGGTGTGGACTGAATGCTGTTGTAGGACTGACTGCAGATGTAGGACTGACTGCAGGTGTAGGACTGAATACTGGTGTTGGACTGAATGCTGGTGGAGGACTGAATGCTGGTGTAGGACTGACTGCAGGTGTAGGACTGACTGCAGGTGTAGGACTGACTGCAGGTGTAGGACTGAATGCTGGTGTAGGACTGACTGCAGGTGTAGGACTGACTGCAGGTGTAGGACTGAATGCTGGTGTGGGACTGACTGCCGGTGTAGGACTGAATGCTGGTGTTGGAATGACTGCAGGTGTAGGAGTGACTGCAGGTGTAGGACTGAATGCAGGTGTAGGACTGACTGCAGGTGTAAGACTGAATGCTTGTGTAGGACTGAATGCTGGTGTAGGACTGAATGCAGGTGTAGGACTGACTGCAGGTATAGGACTGAATGCTTGTGTTGGACAGAATGCTGGTGTAGGACTGAATCTTGGTGTAGGGCAATATGGTCTCTTGAACTGAGTGATTGGTATAGAGGTAGTGAGTGATGATTAGTAGTACTAATCTAAACAATAGTGAAGATTACATACCTATATCTGTTACATGCGTTACATGTCACGTATTGATTGCCGTAAAATTAAGAATATTTCTCAATATATTTGTATCCCTTTCATATAATCAAGCAATAATATGTTAATTATTCTACATTTAAATTGTGTTGTAACTCATGTTATTTCATTCTGTAAACTCTTGCATAAACTGAAGACTTTTTCTCTGCCCACCTGAGGAGAAAAAAACTGAAAACTAAACCGGGTAGGGACTTTATTGTTGGGAAAAAAACTCATGGTAGGGTGAACAGGTTCGAGGTTGTGTAAATATTGAATATGCATGAGGGTGGGGCTGACCATCCTGCCAGAAAAACCATCACAGACATGACAGAAAGTGTTACACAATTTTTGTTACGGATGATTGACCGGTTCCGTGAACCATGTGTCACACTGTTGCTGGAGTATACTCATCTAGTGTTATTGTCTTCTTGTTTTACTCTGGTACTGTCGGCCTGTGTTACTGTGTTACTGTGGTACTGTCATCCTGTGTTACTGTGGTGCGGTCTTCCTGTGTTACTGTGAAACTGTCTTCCTGTGTTACTCTATTTCTGTGTTACTGTGTTACTGTCTTCCTGTATTACTGTGTTACTGTCTTCCTGTGTTACTCTCTTTGTGTGTTACTGTGTTACTGTCTTCCTGTGTTACTGTGTTACTGTTTCCTGTGTTACTGTGTTACTGTCTCCCTGAGTTACTGTCTTCCTGTGTTACTGTCTTCCTGTGTTACTGTCATCCTGTGTTACTGTCTTCCTGTGTTACTGTCTTCCTGTGTTACTGTCATCCTGTGTTACTGTCTCCCTGAGTTACTGTCTTCCTGTGTTACTGTCTTCCTGTGTTACTGTGTTACTGTCTTCCTGTGTTACTGTCTCACTGTGGTACTGTCTTCCTGTGT